TTATGTCTCCGTACCTACTGTGAAACATGGAGGAGGCTCGGTTATGTCTCCGTACCTACTGTGAAACATGGAGGAGGCTCGGTTATGTCTCCGTACCTACTGTGAAACATGGAGGAGGCTCGGTTATGTCTCCGTACCTACTGTGAAACATGGAGGAGGCTCGGTTATGTCTCCGTACCTACTGTGAAACATGGAGGAGGCTCGGTTATGTCTCCGTACCTACTGTGAAACATGGAGGAGGCTCGGTTATGTCTCCGTACCTACTGTGAAACATGGAGGAGGCTCGGTTATGTCTCCGTACCTACTGTGAAACATGGAGGAGGCTCGGTTATGTCTCCGTACCTACTGTGAAACATGGAGGAGGCTCGGTTATGTCTCCGTACCTACTGTGAAACATGGAGGAGGCTCGGTTATGTCTCCGTACCTACTGTGAAACATGGAGGAGGCTCGGTTATGTCTCCGTACCTACTGTGAAACATGGAGGAGGCTCGGTTATGTCTCCGTACCTACTGTGAAACATGGAGGAGGCTCGGTTATGTCTCCGTACCTACTGTGAAACATGGAGGAGGCTCGGTTATGTCTCCGTACCTACTGTGAAACATGGAGGAGGCTCGGTTATGTCTCCGTACCTACTGTGAAACATGGAGGAGGCTCGGTTATGTCTCCGTACCTACTGTGAAACATGGAGGAGGCTCGGTTATGTCTCCGTACCTACTGTGAAACATGGAGGAGGCTCGGTTATGTCTCCGTACCTACTGTGAAACATGGAGGGAGCTCGGTTATGTCTCCGTACCTACTGTGAAACATGGAGGAGGCTCGGTTGTCTCCGTACCTACTGTGAAACATGGAGGAGGCTCGGTTATGTCTCCGTACCTACTGTGAAACATGGAGGAGGCTCGTTTATGTTTTGGTGCAGCTTCTCTGCATCTGGAGTCTGTGCAGGGCACAACACAATCCCAAGGCTGTCGGGGCATTCAGGAGAGAAATGTGCTGCCCAGTACCAGACAGTTCTGTTACAGGTCATGGATCCTCCTCCTAAGAACTAAACATTGGACCGTTCTGAAGAGACCTTCTACGAGTCCTGATCTGAATCCCATCGATCATCTATGGAAAGATCTGGAACATGAAGTCTGGAGAAGACGCCCTTCAAACCTGACACAGAAGAGTCGTCCATGCTGCCTGCTGGCCGGTGAGGAATGTCTCGTGTGCAGTCATTGTCTCTATAGGCGGTCCATCAATATCGTAGGTTCAGGGTCCCATCAATTTTGTCCGGGGACATCTTCATTTGTTATATAAAATGTTCCGTTCAATCAAAAAGCAAATCCGATTCTTAAACTAAACGACGATGACTCGGGTCCGTCTCAGAGAAAGTTATTTGCCCTTTAAGGGTACGCTCACACCAGGTGCAGTGCGTTCCGGTCCGATTCTGGCCGGAACGCACTGCATCGTATTGCGGCCGGCTCACTTTTTTTTGTGGGGCAGGAGGGGGAGTGGCGGGCCATTGAAGTGAATGGCACCGTAGCCACGCCCTTCGGCCGCAATGCGATTGGCCGCACAGGATCGCAAGCCACATTGTGCCTGTGGTGCGATCAAAATGC